ATAGAGTGAGACCAAAACAGGCCCCAAGACTAACAAAGAACCTTCATTGTCCGAAGTTCCCTCTTGGAACAACAAATGGCCTTTTGGACCAAGACAAGGCGAAAAGTCCACAAAAATTTGTGTGGCTTCCAGGAAGGTTCCAAAATAAACAGAGGAAGGACAAGTGTAACCAAGGTGAAAAGTCCACAAAAATTTGTGTGGCTTCCAGGAAGGTTCAAAAATAAATAGAGGAAGGACAAGTGTAACCGCAACAACTTCAGTTCAAGAAACTCCGAAACCTGGAAGAAACCAAAGCATGGATTGCACCTGACGAAAGAGCATACACGTGTTCAAGAGTCACCATCTGAACTCAAAGCTCAGTGGAGGAGCTGCCAACTCTGTCTTGCTAATAAGTCTCAGTTGCGAACCTCCAGTACAAAGCATTTAGGTGAAATAAAGAGATATATCCATTCAGCCTTAACATCTATACCTAGTTCAAAGCAAGTAAGTACAAGTTATGTTTGATTTTGTTGCCTCCCCTTGAACAAGGCAGTCCACATCATTCAGAGCCCATGTGGATCAAGTACCCTCTAGGGTCTCAGCAAAAGTCACATGGTTCCAGTAATGTCCAAATTTCATCCACCCAAAGCATAAAAACGTATCTGCAAGTAAAGAATGATGACTAAAAAGATTACTTCTTCAAGTCCAAAAGTTTTGATAAAAAGCATAAGCTTTCCCCTGTCCCTGCCTTTCCCCAAAAGTAAGAACAAAAATATAAATTGCTGTCAGCCAGCCAAAATTTACTGACTTGGAGCGACAGGAAAATGAACTACAACAGGCCAACTACAGAGAACTAACATCTTCATTTGTCAAAGCTTTGTCAGCCGGCATATAGGAGAAGAGGAGGAAAGGAATTCAAGGAATACATTACACTGGTTTAAAATTAGAAATTGGCTCAACGCTGGAAGTATGCCAGCGCTAAGAACTACAAGGTTCAAGCAGATGCCCAGCCAGAGACAGTCACAATGGGAGGACAAATTACACAAAAAAAAAAAAAACAAACAACCTTCTGGCAGCTGAACCCCCATAAATATGCCACACACCTGCTTGTGCAGCATCCATCACTCAACAGCGAAGCTTGGACTCTCCGGCTAGTCACAATGGGAGGACAAATTACACAAAAAAAAAAAAAACAAACAACCTTCTGGCAGCTGAACCCCCATAAATATGCCACACACCTGCTTGTGCAGCATCCATCACTCAACAGCAAAGCTTGGACTCTCCGGCTTGGATGCTACGTAGGGGTCAGATTCAGAAAGGTCTGGGATGAAGAAAAAAATGCTACCGCTGTCGTTAGAGCTGTACGCTCTCTTTAAGGCACATCTGCCTTTTTCATCTTGTCACTAGATCCTACCCTGTCCATTTCCTTTGGCCAACAAGACCTATTTTGATATTTTTGTCCAGATTACTTTGAGCCCCATACAGCTCACAGTTCTGACTGGTCCCCACACCAACACCAAGCACAGCAAGGGGACAGAAGCACAGAAGGTTTGCCTGAAGGGTATGCACTTTTGGGCAGAAATGACTGTAAATGAAGGCTCACAAGAGGCAACTCAGGTCACACAAGGCCAAATTCCCAGCTCTGCTCAGAGCTGGGAATTAGAGTTTCTCATTGCTATTTACGCCCTTTAGCGAGTCATGGAATTCCTCAGGGCTTTCAAGTGGGGTAATGACCTCACTGCAGTATTGAAGACTACTGTGAGCCAACATTATAAAACATAAAAGGCTATTTCTCTAGTTGGGAGGTAGCTGTTGTTAACGATATAGGTGCACATTTCTGTATTTTCTAAGGTAGAGTTAGTGGGTAAAGCTTCTAGTAGTCCCCAGTCACAGACTCATGCAACGATGAAGTCACTGAGCCTTTACCAAGTTTAAAATTAGTTTGAAATGTTCCCCTATGAGCACGACTGAGCATATTTTAGGCTTTATTTGGAGGTTTTGGTGCTTTTAAGAGTTCTGCTGTTTCCAAGAACAAAGTGACTTTGTTTAGGCTGTGTAGAAAAAAAATACTCCCATAATTTACAGAAGTTTTAGCACTCCTGTCTATGAAGGAGAAACTCAAAGTTTGATGAACAGTAGGAATGGTACAAGCCGAAGCCAAGGAGGGTAAAGGAGAATGAAGAAAAATGAGCAACGTGCACCTGAAGCAATGGCTTAGCATCAGGAGAGCATCTCAATTCAGCTTCGCAATGAACACACACCAACCTGACCAAAAATTGTAGGCTCTGAGGAGATTTCCATTTGTGCAGGGAGGGTCAGATAAAAGCTGCAAGCGGTATTTTCTGAGCAGCCCATCAGCACAGAGCATGTTTCAAGTCCTCTACGTCAGTTAACCAGGACATATATCATCCTGCCAAACCAAGTATGCGTGCTCCAGCCCAGAGAGCTGCAAGAGCACAGCAAGACTTTCCTTCAGCTGTGCCAGAAAGCTTTGGGAGGGGGGATAGGGGCTGTCTCCATTTTGGTACCTAATCGCTTTGAAAATCAAGATTCTCCATCTGCTCTCAGGAAGCATGAAGAAATGAAGAGCAGTTTGACTTACTTTAAATATAAATAGGTTGTTCAGGGATAGACCAGACAGAAAAGTGAAGGCTGTGGAAAAAGGAAAGAGCTAGGATGGAGTGGCAGGCAATGGGGGAGTAACAAGAACAGAGCAAAGTGGGGGCAACAAAGGGCTACAGGCACAAGGCAAGTCTAATGGAAGGATACTCCAGACACCAATACAGGTTAGGGATGGACCTGCTGGAAAGCACTTCTGAGGAGAAGGATCTGGGGGTCCTGGTGGATAGCAAACTCTCCATGAGCCAGCAATGGGCCCTTGTGGCCAAGAGGGCCAATGGGATCCTGGGCTGCCAGGAGGTGGAGGGAGGTCATTCTCCCCCTCTGCTCTGCACTGGGGAGGCCACAACTGGAATCCTGCGTCCAGTTCTGGGCTCCCCAGTTCAAGAGAGACAGGGAACTGCTGGAGAGAGTCCAGCGAAGGGCAACAGAGATGATTCAGGGATTGGAGCATCTCCCTGATGAGGAAAGGCTGAGAGAGCTGGGGCTCTTTAGCCTGGAGAAGAGAAGGCTGAGGGGAGACCTTCTTAATGCTTCCAAGTATCTAAAGGGTGGGTTGAAGGAGGATGGAGCCGGACTCTTTTCAGTGGTTCCCAGTGACAGGACGAGGGGCAACGGGCACAAGCTGGACCATGGGAAGTTCCACTCCAATCTGAGGAAGAACTTCTTTGGGGTGAGGGTGGCAGAGCCCTGGCAGAGGCTGCCCAGGGAGGGTGTGGAGTCCCCTTCTCTGGAGATCTTCAAGCCCCACCTGGATGCTCCTGAGTGATGTGCTCTGGGCAACCCTGCTTTGGCAGGGGAGTTGGATTAGATGATCCCTAGAAGGTCCCTTCCAACTCTGACAATTCCATGATTCCGTGACAATATGTTGACTGAAGTGGGCTGTCAAAAATAACCTATCCACAGGCTGGAACTGAAGCAAGTTCGTAATCCTGGGTCTCTTTAGTCCTCTGCTCTTCACAGCCCACAGCAAAAGTCACAGGACAGTTCTACCACAGCTGGTTAGCACGGTTAGCACAGACAAATGACTTAGTGCTACTACTACAAATCACCTGTCATCCAAAAGAACGAGGCTTCTGCTGTGAGTTTAGTGATTCAGACGCTGCTGGTAACACAAATTAAAAATGGACACAATGGCACACATGGGATTTAATTTTTTTTCCAGCCCTTTGAAAAAAAAGCTTTTAAAGCCAGAAAACAAAAACTCTCAGAAAACACATACAGAATTTCAGCAAGTATAAAGGTAGATGATCCTTTCAGGTGTTATATTCTAATTTCTTTAACTGAGGTGATAATACAACTTCCCCCACCATTCCCCCACCACTTGACAACTAAAGAGAAAGTCTTATACATAAGAGGAACTGCATCCTCTGAACAAATCTGGTGGCAGTGAAACACATGTCTAGAGGATTAGATTCTCCCCATGTCTCTACCACAGCATTCTTGCATGATTCTGATCAAGCTGCTGAAGTCTGCTCACAAGTCATCACTAAGCACGTGTTCATCTGCTGACTGCCTAAGGCAGGACAGACAGGTCCAATCTATAGAAGTGATGAGCGTGCCTAGACACCCGTGATGTCTAGAGGAGTTGTGCTTTGGTCATAAATATTAAGCACTCTGCAAAAAAATAATTAAAAAAATCAAGATCTAACTAAATTTGAAAGCCTATCTGTAAAAGCAAGCTAATAGTTCTCTCTTGATCATCTGGTAAAAGCATGAATTATATCTATCTATCTATCTGACACAGCACAGCAATAACAAACATAAAGAGCTGAATTTAAATGGCAAACTCGTGCCATGAATTTAAATGGCTAGTGAGATCTGCAGCCATACAATGAATACATAAAAGGTGAAATGGTTATTAACTCAGTGTACCTCATCCAGCTTGCTCAACAGATGGGACAGCTGTCCCATGAAGAACTAAAACTTTAGACATGTGATGATATAATTTTAAAAAGTACCCTAATACATTTACACAGAAGTTGTACCAACAAGCTACTTATGGAATTTCTGACTTTTGAAATAGCTGACATTCCAACCTGTAACATTTGCTTTTAAATTATTTTATTGTAATGCAATTTCTTTATAGGCACATCTGTAGTATTCTTTACCACAGTAACTTGAAATCTAAGTTTCTTAGTAAAAGATGACTCAGCCTGCTGCAACAGCTCAATCCTACCTAAAAATCCTTGGCGGGTTTAGTCTTCTAAAAATATCAAACGTTCGAAAAAAACACTAGAGCAATATTAACCATCTTAGCAGTATCTTACCAACATGCCAAACCATACCACTCCACCGTTGCTTGCCAGAGCCCAGGATTAAATAGACAAGTTTCTATACTACTACAGGAGACAGAGATCTGTTTGGGCCACCAAGGGAAGCATAAAGTTGGAGGTACTCACCACTTTCCAGCGATCTTTGACCACATAATTGGCCGGAAGAATGTCGACCTGTTCCCCTCCTCCACTCATGTTTGGTTCGTCCTTGATGACTGCTGCTAGGCACTGCATTTGCCAGCCAGAGAGTATTTTAGTAGCTCCCAATTTAAATGAGCCATTTATCTGGGGGAAAAAAAAAAAAAAAGGGACAGGGGGGAAGGAATGACAAAATTAGTACAGGTCACGGCAGAAGCGCATGGTACATTTCCACAGGTTTGGCTTATGACCAAATCAGAACCGGCATCTTAGGAAAGAAGGCAAACTCACCTTGCAAACACCTGAGCTCACTCCATGCATAAACTCAGCAGACAACAACCATGCTTCAAGTCAGCAGCACAAACTCAAAAGGTGACCATTACTGGCTACACCATGCAGGAAGTCCAACGCTCTGGGGCCCGACAGCCAACAAGGCAAAGAGAATCCAACGCCAAACGCTGCAAGAGCTGTTATTGTTACCAGGCAAAAAGGTCTTGCTTTAACAGAGCAGCTGCTACATAGGCAGGGTTTTTTTTTTTTTATGGTTTTCATTGGACAACATCCAACACAAATCAGAAAGGTTTGCCAGGTATTGCATTCAATAAGCCTAAAAGCATCTCAATAAGGTAGAAGGGCCTTTACAGAGCCAGGGTTACAGACACCGTCACTGAACAGCCAAGCAAAGAAGATGGGGACGGTTAGAAAGGGTTTCAGCCATGTATAAATTAGTCCTCCTCACAGCACACACACAGTGCTAAAAATGAGCAAATTAAAATACGGAGAGATATCTTGTTCCTATGGTGTTTGCATTCTACCTCATGCCCCTTTTTCCTGCTTTTATAGGGAGCTCCAGATAGCCTACGCTGAAAATCATTTCATTTGGAAGTTTTTTGGTTATAATTCTTCTACAAAAGTGACTTTCAGATACACATTAACTCCACTTTCCTGGAAGAAAATGAATTGAAACAGGACTAATAAAAGATCTTCCTATTCCATTTTGTCTCTCCCTGTAAGATATTTTTCTGGCTGTAGAAGTAGGCCAGATCTTTTATTAAGCTTTCTCAGCAGTTCTATCATCCTTTCCCCATAATATGTAGTATTTTCCTTCCTAAAAACGAGTGTTACTGTAGCACTCTGAGTGGAGACTTAAATGAGATTACAACATAAATACCAAATTAGGAAAAAAGACTCAGTGTCGGACTTAAATGAGATTACAACATAAATACCAAATTAGGAAAAAAGACTCAGAGCTGGTCATTCAACCATCACACTTCTTCAGGCCCCAAAAAAAAGGAAAAAAAAAAAGTCACCAGTGAATTATGAGTTCAAGTAGAGAAAAGAGCTCATTCCCTGGCAATAAAAGGACCGAGAAGGAAGGATAGGAAGTGACCAGCACGTAGGAAAGGAAGAAAGGAAGCAGGAGATAGAAGTATGTCAAAAGTAGTAAGACATAGAGGATGATCAAACAAAACACGAACAAAAGATCTCAAAGAGATCCTCTCAAAAGATCTTCACAGAAGAAGATTTCATTCCCCATATAGAAGATAACTACATGGAAAAAAGGAGCAGCAGACCAATACAGTGAGAGGGCCACCGAGAAATGTTCATACAATCCAACATCTGCTAAAGTACAATCAAAACGACAGAAGAGAAATAACAAGAAACTTAATATTAAAGAAATTCAGAAGAAAGGGTGCTGCAAAATGCTTCGAATTCTCGCAGAAGAGTCCTGCACCCATATGGGGCTGCAGCCCCTTCCATCGTCAGGTATTGAAGTAAGAAACTGGAAAGCTCTCCAATGAGAAACTCCATTCTGTGTTTGGCAGCACCATATTTATGCTTCTTCTTCCTAACGAGCAAGCTTAATGCCATTTCCAGGCTCTTTATGCTCACCAAAACATCTGAACTGACCATCCCTAAGCTATCAGCGAGCTCTGCAGATGCTGGGCACCCAGCCTCCCTGCACACCAGGAGAGAGAATCCTCACAAAAATCTCTTCTAAGGCTGGCTTTTCTTCTGTTATTTAAAGAAAAGTAATTTAGCGTGTCCCAAACACTTAACATTATAAAAAAAAAAAAAATACCCCCCCCCAACATTAACACACAGGTACAGAATGAGGTATCCCCTCCCTACTCTTGAAGGTCTGTTGGCATCACTTCATGAAGACAAGAACAGCACAAAGCAGGCTCGAGATGGCAGGGGATGCAAGGGCAGCTAGAGATCCAGGACGTGAGGTGGTAGCAGTAATAAAGACAGGTAGAAAGAAGTTGAGGAGTTTTCCAGAAAAAGTCAGCCATCCACTATTTTTCACTTTGAAGCAAAACCACCTAGAAAGCATGGTAGATGATGTATACGTGTTAGCAATGCAAGCGCATAATAAGATTTCAGTCAAGTGACCAGGGGTGGAAAATAATCCCAAGGAATAATTTTAGAGGAGAGAGAGCGCACAGAAGTCTATGAGCACTCAAAGCTGGGCAAGGTAGAATGGCTTTCCCTGGTGCACAATTCCACTTTCCTTTATCCACGTTATCATACACGTGCACAACGGTAACACGTTTATTATTTAAAGAAGTCACATCAATCTTCACTGGCTTTGAAACAGAACAGAATCCTCATGGCCACTACCACGAAGAGCAGCCATTTGGCAATAGAGAATTACAGAGCTAAATTCAGGGATATGCTCTGGTATAGCCAGAGCGATGCAGCCAAACCAAAAAGCCAATTTAATTACAGGCTGAGACAAATTTCAAGCTGTTTTGGATCACAGTGGCAGCACAAAGCAGTGCTAACATACTGAAAATTTGTTCCTGAGGCAGTACTGATACTGCAGAAACACAGTCAGGCCTATGGACCAAGGGTTTACCAGACTGAGACTGAAACATTGCCTACACCCGTGGCAAGACGTAACACACGTTAACCTAGATCTCCAGAAGAATCATGAAGAAAGGGCAGAAGAAGGGATGAAGTAACCTTGTGCAGAAAACTTAAGCACGTTATTTAAATGACGCTTTTAACTTCCATGTTATTGCAATTCTTTCTAAATCAATAAAATATAGTGGAAATATTGTTTAAGTAGCATCAAAGCTTGCAACCAGCCCCCCCCCCCTGCTAGAGCTTGAAGCGATAGTAGCTCCAAAAGGGAGGTGGGGAATGATGGTTAATTGGGGAGAGGTAAGCACTACCATGGCTTCCCAACACACAGCAGAGAGCATCATGAAACATTAAGTGGTATTAATGGGAACTGGAGGAGAGACAAGATTATCTCTCTCTTGAATTCCAGGAAAGCTGTACCCAATTCAAAGGGTGACCAAGCTTACAAACTTCGACATATCCTCATTACATTCAGCTTTCAAATGTACCAGAGAATCTAAAGATATGTAATTTTGAAGAGAGTAGCTGAGAAGATGAGAACTTTCAGATTGTCTTTTTCTGGAGAAAGTGTAGAGGATGTCGAGGAATGATTGTACCCCTCTCCCACGAAGACAGGCAAGAGAGCTGAGCAACCATAAGATACTGTAAAAAAGTGGCTTCCTAGAAATAGCAAGTGAAGCAGAAACGAAAGCAGCTGTGAGAAAGGAATAGTGATAACAGGACCCAGTCTCATCTCTTGGCTAACCTCAGCATGAAGAAGTGTGAAATCAGCCCATGCTGGAGAATCTTTATAGTTTTATAAATTTAGTCTTGGCCTTTAAAAAAAAAAAAAAAGAAATTAAAAAAACCATGCTTAAAAAACGTGAAATAAAAAAAAAAAAAGGCTAATAAGCCCCACTATGTATTCTGACACACTGCTCTGCCAGCCATTCCTTCCATTTGGCATCAAGACAGTTGGGTAAACGGTCTCCTTATTTTTAAGGCAGCTTACAAAAATCTGATGCACTATAGCAGCAATTATTCAGCCGACATGAAAAATCAAGACCCGGCAGAGAAGCATGACTGGGATAGGCAACAATTTAACAAAATTAAGAGGAAAGTCTACGAGGATGTCAGTGCAAGGCCTGATGTTGCAATTAGTGTGGCAGAGTCTTACATCAAATGCATCTGCCTTGTTCACACGTGCGTTCATCAGGAGGCAAACCAGACCAAGCAAAAGTAGCTTCATACAAGTTGTTAAGCTGAAGAAATCGTCGCTGCAGATGCTAAAGCTTACATAGATTCAAAAAGTGACTTGACAAACTCACTAAAAATTATAAAAAAAAAAAATAAATCCATTAAACAGTAACATACAAATATTTCATGTTTAGCTTAGGAAGCCTTCAATTCACAAATCGCTGAAGGTGGCAGAGCATTCTGCAGAGTCATTTTATATGGTTTCCTGCTTTTATTCTCTACCCTAGATATCTACTCTTGGCCAACTCAGGATGGGATACTAGCCCAGATGACCTTTGATATGACTCAGTATGGCCAGAGTTGAGTTTCTATCAGAGGAATTAGTGTATATATAATATATATGCCTCCTTAATCTCTTCAAGGAGGTCAAAGACCAAAAATTAAAGAAAAAAAAAAAATCCAATCAAAAAGTCTCTTATAGACCTACCCAATTACCTATCTTACAATGTTCTCTTTCATTCAAGCAACATTTTAAACAACTGTAGTGCAAAAAATGTTATCTGTTTTTACAGAATCATAGCACTCTTAAAATTAAACTTAAATATGGAGCATTCCCTGTGGGAATTCCTAACATATATATGAGATCTTTCCTATGTTGGCTTTCCTGTGTCTCAAGATATTGTGGCAGCAGCGCTCAAAATACAGCCAAACTCAAACAAACATCAAGTTAAAAACCCATCAGACATAAGTTGGTTATTAAACAACAGAACAAAGCTATGGAGGTCTGTCTCTCACCATCTTACTAAAGGTCCTGGATAATCTTAGTGCCTTAATCTCACTGTGGAGGAATTGCAATATCCCACTTTATTCCAGGACACATCCTCACCTCTGGAAGCCTACAAATTAGAACAATCAGAACAAGTGAAGTTTATTTAGACTGCTGTAGCCCATAACCCTCTTTACTCCACCAAAATCCCAACTGTGAACATGAGATCCACCTTAAGAGCAGATCCCACTGGCGTTTCAGAAAGCTGATGCCAACTGTAGCTTTTTAGGTGAGACAAAGCTGGACATCTACGAAAAACAAAAAGTAACCCCCATAAACTGCAGTCTAGAAATAGATCAATCTCCCCGTCCAATACTTGCATGGGAGGAACAAACAAAAAGCAGTCGTAAATAGAATTTAAGCGTAACTTAGCCCATCCCAACATGAACTTTACTGGCATTAAGGCAAAGTGAAACAGATGGGGTGGGGAATAAGAGGAGAATATAACAAGTAGGATTGAGAGTGCTTAGACATAAGAAAGAAAACCAGTGGAGAGTTTCCAAGTGAACTGAGCAGCAGAACTAGGGTTCAGTTAATGGCAGCACCACCTGCATGCACTTGGTTTCCTTCACTGTTTTACAAACATCATCTGCTTCCAACACACAATCCCAATTATAAAAATCAAATCCCTCACATTGAGACAAACAAAAACCCCCTTAAATCTTTATAGAAATAAGTTGTACCATGCACTAGCGTTCTGTTATTAGGGTAGAAATGCACGTGACAGTACAGGAAACACAGTGATTAAAAAAAAAATATATATATATAAAAATACAGTGCACTGGACTAACAGCCCCTCAGCCCTGGAATACACCATACCTCCTGCTGAACTTGAAACAGCAATTAAAAACAAGTCATACGCTGTTAGGGGAGGTCTGACAGCAGGAGCTGGAAAGGTTCTGAATTGTTCCTTGAAGACACATATCTTCCTTCATTGCCTGCCTCTGCTGTAGCAAACCCTGCTTAGAGGGCAGGCTCAACTCCTAGCAGCTGCGGCTTAAAGTCTCCTCTGTGACATATTCTTCTCATAGGCATGCAAGGGCATCAGCCTTAGAAATTCTGGATTTTGCTATTCACAGCATTTCATTTCTGCAAAAAACAAAACATCTAAAGGTGAGGTTGCAAGATACCGGGACTGTTCTTCACCTTTGATGGCTTTATGACCATTAAGGAGTGATTGTAGCCACGACTGGGAAAAACAAACCCCAAAAAGCCAAAGTAAACAAACAAACAAACAAAAAAATACTTCCCCCCCCCAAAAAAAAAAAAAAAAAGCTGCAATCAAGACAGACAGATCCAGATTCTCTGCTAACACGAAGCTGCGCTGAACAGGACGTACAGAAATATATTAAATATAACAGATGCACCTTGACAGCATTATTACAGCTACCCGGTGGCACAGCCAAATGAATGGAGTATTGCCCACACAGTGACACACACAACTCCCACCCTAGGACCTAAGGAAACCAAACAAAAAAAAAAACCCCCAAACACAGAATTTCATGCCGCCAGAGACCGCACTCATGTCCACCACAGAGCAGTCAGACACACCAGAGATTTCTGGGCCAAACCCACCTATCTACAGGGAGAACAGGCACAGTTAATTATGACAACAAATCATTAGGAAGGCACACCAGATAGAGTTTGAGAGGGAAGTCTATTACCTTCTACCAATCTCCTTGACAGAGCTGCTCCAATTTTTGATCCAAGCAGAAAATTTAATCCAATGCCAGGAAATCCCCCTAATATCATAACCAGCTTAACCTCTACTAACTTAACAGGCAAACATTATGGTCTGCTTAAAAAATAGCATTTAAGTGTATCTACCTGCAAAGTAAATATAGATCACTACTTGCAAAGCTTGTAGCATATATATGAATATAAGCAAGAACTAGTAGAAGTTATACTTATGGTATCAGGCTTAATCTACACCTGACACCACCAGAAGCACCACACCGAGGTATGTTTTCATCATATGATTCTGGGACCAGTTTGTTTAATTGATCCTTAGGCAAGTCCTCTCCTTTCTCCCTGCAGAGTGCTTTTGTTGGGAGCCTGTCACTCATCCTCCTTCAAATGTCACCACTCCAAGTGGCTTGTCAAAGCTGGGGTCAACAGTACCTTCCTCGAGCCCTTATCCTCATAGAACAGTATTTTACCTTGAAAAATTGACTCAGCCGTATAGAAAACTGATACCATCCCTTGCTCAATGGTCTTATATAATAATCTATTATATTAGGTTATTAAAAGGCCCACAGCCTGAGATCAATCACTTTAAACTTCCATCCCAGGGCAAACAGTGCTCATCTTACCTATCCAAACAATATTATGACAGATGCAGTCACCATAATTATCAAGGATTAAACAAACTTGTCACAAAAACTATTCAGAGGTTAGGAACACAACAATAAGTTCCTGATCAGAGATTTGGTTTTTTCATTCAAATTCTGGAAGACAGGCTATTTTGCAGGAAAAAAATCATCTATTTATAGATTTGCTATACGGACTTCACGTTGCCAAGCGCTTTCTGAAATTTAATAAAAATTAGCCTAAGTGGAATAACTGCCACATGCTGCCCTGAGACGTCATATCAGACTAAATGAGACTAAGCAGGACAAAAATGTTGCAGTTTTCAAGCCCGCTGCTGATCACAGCAGAGATTCTGTTTGCAATTACACAGAAGAGATTTCCCGGCATTGACAAAAAAACGTTTTATCATGCCAACTCTGTTAGTCACTTAAATCATCTCTCCACAGCCCTTCTGTAACCACTTTTCCCATTTTTGTAAGGAACTCAGCCCCCCTGCTTGGAGCACGCTCAGGGGAGCATGTTCAGCCTTCCTTGCAAATCTACAGTTTCAGCCTCTGATCTGCAGCCTCACCATATTTTAGTTTTCAGACAGCTGGTGACTTGCCCCAAGGTGATGTCCTCACGGCTGACCCACTTTTTCTTCTACCCTTGGGGAAATCCCACTGCATTCTCAACCAAAAGTCCCCAGAGGTGTAAAACTCGGTTTTAAGATTGGAAGCTCAAATTTCATCGCTATTTGGAGGATTTGCAGTACTAGAGGAATTCGTTTCCTTCGTAGTTAATATCCAAAGACAGTATTAACAAAGCAAATGATAATATCAAGGCAGGTAAGGGCTGTGCCCTGCACCTGTCACACTCTTTGCCCCAACATGTTAGAAAGTGAGATGAAAAACTCTTGTATATGCAAAGGTGGTTTGTTTAATTTCTTTCTGTGCTGCTGTGTCACTTTCCAAGGAGAAATGGTGTTACTAAGATCGTGAAAGAGTTTTACAAGCTAGTCTGGGTGGCATCTATATAAGCCACTTCCACGCATGTCAATGATGCCATCTCGTCCACAACTCCCAGAATCTGCTTGTATTCTCCCAGAACATGCAAATAATCATTCCCCAGCCATAAGTCTTCCTATCTGTTGTGTTAAGCAGTTCCATGACTTAGGCACGTGTCTTCTCCTTCTGCTGTCAGATCTGACACCAGCCCGTTGTGCTTGACAGAAAAATCCCTTGAATGTTCTTCTCAGGGAAGAAAAAAGCCCCAACTCTTCAAAATGTGTTCTTCAGGGTAGATTCATTGTAATAAACCATATTTGTACTCTGATCCTTAATTTGCCAGTGCTATGCCAGGTAACTGGACCCTGAGAATTTCCTATTACAGACCACAGATGGTCAGAATTTGTTTCTATAAAAGGCATCATAAACCTTATGTCATATTTGAGTGCTAAAATAATTTCAATTCTATTCATGGCTGTAGTAAAGTAATGGAAAACTGAATTTTCGTACCTGAGCTGGCCAAAGCTCATAACAATTTTTCAAACTGATCTCAACCTGAAATGGGTGATTGTGCATTCTCTGCTCAACTTGCCAGAGTAAGCTGGCTACCGGCGACCGCTTCTAATGATACTCCACAGACAGAACAATTACTGGTTCAAGTCCACCCTAGAATTTTTGGAGGGGGGGAAAAAAAAAAAAAGTGTATCATTTCACCACAATCAGAAACACACGTAGCAAGGTTAAAGAAAATCTGTTTCACAAAAGAAGCAACAGCCACACTAAAAATAACAGCTGCTGAGTTTCCATTAAACTTGAAAATAGGCTGCAGAGACCCACGCAACCAGAGAGCCCTGAGTCCTAGAAGCCAAATGTCTCCTGCCTGTTCCCCCACATCAACTGTCAACCTGTCAAGAGTGAGAAAATACTTGCCTACCTGCTCTTGGCATCTGCACCATTTATATTTTCTTGTTTTTTTTTATTTTCCTGTTAGCTCAATGGACAAAGCCCCTTAAGCCTCATCTCTGCGTGCTAAGCAAGCGTCCTCAATTCCTTCTAGACGTGGAAGAAGGAAAAAAAAAAATGCATCTTCCACAAAATGCTTCTTAATGCAACAAACTCATGCTCAGACATCTATGAATAAGTCATACAGGTCACGCACACACAGCACAGCACTGCTACAGAGAGAAGCAGATAAGAAGGGAGGAAACTCTATCCTTGGCTACAACTGGGGAAAGAAAGTGGAGTCCAGTGAAGGGCCACCATCCATGCCTAACGGTCACTAAAAAAAGCTGGAGCTGAAAAAGCACTGAAAGATGCCTCCCATCTGAAACTAAACTCTTTAAAATGCATGTATCTTATCCAAAAGGCACGCTAAAAAGTAAGTTAATGTAGTGTAGAAGTATCTCCCTGTGAGGAAAATTTAAGAAACTGAAGGGCTCTCCCATTCTAGCTCATCTTCTGCTACAGGATGAAGCCTGACAACTGCAAACTAGTTTTTCATGGGATTTTTCCTTGAGGACAGGACCTAGAACAAGGCAGGCGGTGGATTCTAGCTCTCTTGCTCTTTTCAGATCAAGGCTTGGCATCTTTAAAAAGGCATGCTTTAGCTACTGTAAATTTTACTAACAACAACAAAACCAAAAATCACATTTTTGGGTGCTTAGACACTAATGAATTAAATTTGAGAATCAATATGGAAACACCCTTACACCAGATTGACCCTGGATCCAAGGGATTCAGGTTAGCCAGCATCTGTTTGTAGGCTTTCTGGAGGAGGACAGGTAGGCAGACCCTGGATCCAAGGGATTCAGGTTAGCCACCATCTGTTTGTAGGCTATCTCAAAACCTACTTGCCATGAAGAGAAACAGTTCCCCTCTCTCCTGCCAGCTCTTAACTCCTGCACGCAGCATTCCACCACGGGCCAGTTCAGTGACTTGGACCAGCAGAAAAATCATTCATCTTCCTAATAAATACGGTTATTTCCTTGGCTTAGAGCTCCTTGAAATGGTTCATTGTAGGGTCAGCAAAAGGCAAGTGCCAGCACAATGGAGGAGCAGCACCTCAGATCCATGTCAGCTTGGGCCAAGCTGTGCTCCACATTCACCTCCACAGCAAGAAGCCTTCAGCCTTCCATGAGATCACAGGTACCAGTATAGGTTAGGGGTGGACCCGCTAGAGGCAACTACTGAAGAGAAAGATCTAGGGGTCCTGGTGGACAGTAAAATGACAATGAGTAAACAGTGTGCTCTTGCGGCCAGGAAGGCCAATGGTATCTTGGGTTACATAGGGAAGAGTGTAGCCAGCAGGTCAAGGGAAGTCATTCTCCCCCTCTGCTCTGCACTGGTGAGGCCACAACTGGAGTACTGTGTCCAGTTCTGGGCTCCCCAGTTCAAGAGGGACAGGGAACTACTAGAAAGAGTCCAGCGAAGGGCTACAAAGATGATTCAAGGATTGGAGCATCTCCCTTATGAGGAGAGACTGAGAGAGCTGGGACTCTTTAGTCTGGAGAAGAGAAGGCTGAGGGGAGACCTTATCAACGCCTACAAGTATCTCAAGGGAGGGTTGAAGGAGGAGGGAGCCAGACTCTTTTCAGTGGTTCCCAGTGAGAGGACGAGGGGCAACGGGCACAAGTTGGAACATAAGAGGTTCCACTCAAATATGAGGAGAAACTTCTTCACGGTGAGGGTGACAGAGCCCTGGAACAGGCTGCCCAGGGAGGGTGTGGAGTCCCCTTCTCTGGAGATTTTCAAAACCCGC